CGTGTGCCTGCTGACGTCACGCATCTCCCCCCACCTCACCCTCCCCGTCGGCCGTGTATTAATCCGAGACAAGAATCCAAGTCTCGGACGAAGCCGGGTAGTAAAGCTCGTGTTATCAGTAAATGTATACATATACACTGTGCTGTATTCCCCTTCCTCCAGCCGTCCACGCTGTCAATCCCCTGGCCCTGTTGGTGTACACTTTGTACAGGTTTCACAGGTTCCTCTTAACACGTAGGCTTGCGCGACCAATATCATCCATAATAGAGGTTTTTTTTTGGGTGAGATGCTGTAAACATATAAATGTGTCGTTAAAACCCGCCACCACCCGACACAGCCAACTAGTAAGGGTTGTCACGTAAACAGAACGTGGCCAATTCGTCACTAGTACAGCACAACGGTGTGTTGGAGAGCCAAGCCACAACATTTACAATCTGAGTACGACGTTTCGCCAGTAATTACAACTAGCTTCATCGGGCGACTGCCAGATTTGTGGAGAAATCCTCCTGTTTCGTTCCTTATAGAGAGGCATAGATTTATACGCCTTGTACACCCTCATTGTATAATTGTATGGGTCTCTGTACACGTATATACGCCTCTGTGTTAGTCTGTGGATCTCCATGTTAATGCGAGGAAGCCATTGTGTGTTCATGGTTTCCTCCAGTAGAAATAAATATTGCGATTCTGATATAAGTCAGTACATGGGTATTGGCGTGCGATTGTGTTTCTATGGGTCCAAGTCAATGGGTCTCTGTGCGAGTTCATGGGCCTTTCCGAGTCTATGGGTCTCTGTGTGAGTCTGTGGGTCTCTGTGCGAGTCTGTGGGTCTCTGTGCGAGTCTGTGGGTCTCTGTGCGAGTCTGTGGGTCTCTGTGCGAGTCTGTGGGTCTCTGTGCGAGTCTGTGGGTCTCTGTGCGAGTCTGTGGGTCTCTGTGCGAGTCTGTGGGTCTCTGTGCGAGTCTGTGGGTCTCTGTGCGAGTCTGTGGGTCTCTATGCGAGTCTGTGGGTCTGTGCGAGTCTGTGGGTCTCTGTGCGAGTCTGTGGGTCTCTGTGCGAGTCTGTGGGTCTCTGTGCGAGTCTGTGGGTCTCTGTGCGAGTCTGTGGGTCTCTGTGCGAGTCTGTGGGTCTCTGTGCGAGTCTGTGGGTCTCTGTGCGAGTCTGTGGGTCTCTGTGCGAGTCTGTGGGTCTCTGTGCGAGTCTGTGGGTCTCTGTGCGAGTCTGTGGGTCTCTGTGCGAGTCTGTGGGTCTCTGTGCGAGTCTGTGGGTCTCTGTGCGAGTCTGTGGGTCTCTGTGCGAGTCTGTGGGTCTCTGTGCGAGTCTGTGGGTCTCTGTGCGAGTCTGTGGGTCTCTGTGCGAGTCTGTGGGTCTCTGTGCGAGTCTATGTCTCTGTGATGTGGCTCTAGGCAGAAGTGTCCCTACAGGTGTCTATGGGCTATTTAGACACTACAGTACAGTAATATAAATCCATGTTGCATTGTTGTAATTGTTACAAATGGTCATGGGGGCCGTCCATAAATGACGTCACGCACCTGGGGGGGAGGGTCAGACATTTGTGACGATGTGTGACGAGGTGGGGGGGGGGGGGGGGTTTGAGAAATGTGACGTCACATCAAATTGCGCAACTTTAAATATAGACAACACGTTCTACTTAATTAAATAGACTTTTAATAAATGTTTTCTCCTACATCAGTGCAGCGCCACATTATATACGCACTACAATGACAATAGTTCAAAGCGATTTGAAGAATGTTTTATTTTGAGGGGGGGGGGGGGGGGGGGGGCAGAGCTTTGTGGCGTCATATTTGAGGGGAAGTCTGACTTTTTGTGACGCCGTGTAACGAGGGGGGGGGGGGTCAAAAATCCTCCAAAATCGCGTGATGTCATTCATGGACGGCCCCATGGTTAAATCTATGAGTCACCTGCGTGCCGCGCTGAGTCAGTTTCTATGATTTGAGTCATCAGCAGGGTGTGTCTGGCTACACATACGATGCGTGATCTGTTAATGTGCAGTGGTTCAACTCGGAGGCAGTAATTCTTGGAGGCACTTCTTTTATTATACACACAATCTCCCTTCACACACCTTACAGTCGCCCAGGCGACACACAGCCTACACACAACACTAGCCGTCTAACACCGATGGCGCTGACCGATACAGCCAGCAACCGTATAGCAGCGCAATATCGAGCGACGCCGACTGCGGCGACGAAGAGAAGAATGGCAGCGACAGCGACGACGATGGACTTGAGCAGCACGACGGGGACCCCACTTACAGTCGACAGCCCCCAAGTCACCTCCAGGGGCCCCTCTTATACTGTCAGCGTGGCCTGGCTCCGCCCCCAGTCACGCCCCCCTTTCTAGAACCTACCAGCGGGTTCTTGGTGTGCCCCTTTGGTGATCTTTCCCCTAGACCCCCCCCCCCCCCTCTGGAGTATCACGTGGCCTGCTGACGTCAGGGCTGCCGTAAGCCGCAGATCCCCTTCCCCGCCAGCAGTCAGCGCAATGCCGCTACACTACTATTCTATGCCACTGCACATGCACGGTCCTTGGCAGGGTGCCCAACATGTATTGTGACCCACAATGAATTGAGCCCTAACACTGTTGTTCCTTTGCATGTTAATTTCTGTTTTAAATTAACCCTCCTTCAAATATATATTTTTTCGAGAATTGAATGGGGCTCACAATACATCTGGTCCACCCTGGATATGTCATCACCCCCCTCCCCACCCCCTCGAGTCACGATGTGGACGCGGAGGAGTGAATTGCACCGCGGGCGCGCTCCGTTGGCTCCGAGTCGCCACCAGACCGCTCACCGCGCCGTCAACACGATGAGGACGCTTGCACCGACGCGGCATACATTTAATTAGATCATATAACATGGCAGAACAAACAAAAACAAACTCAGAGAATTTGTCAAGAATGCTGTGTGTGGCCTTGAAATGGAAATAATAATATGAGAGGTGACTCATAACACATTTATAAATAGCGCGATCTAACCCAAAAACCTTTATTATGAATAATATTGGTCGCGAAAGCCTACGTGTTAAACTTAAAATGAGAGGTGACGTTTCGGCCAAAGGCCCTGCTGCATCGCACATGCGTGAATTTGTGTGCTTTGGTTCTATTCGGTAAAGTCACGTAGGTAAAAACAATAAAAATAAAAATAAAAATCACGACGTTTCGGCCACAACACAAGTGGCCTTCATCAGGTGAAGGGACCGGACTGTCCAGAGGACAGCGTTGGAGTGAAATCAGCCAAGCCCAGGTCGCGTCCTTTAAGCTGTGTGGGAGGAAACAAAGGCGCCTTGACAAAGGAATTAGCATAAAAATGAGCATGATGTACGTAGGAGGTACATGATGGACCATGATGGACCAGGCGTGGGGGGGACCATGATGGACCAGGCGCGGGGGGAGGGGAGTTTACATAATGTTGGTGTGAAGAGAAATAAGCAGCTGTGAAAGTTTGGGATATCACTACTTGAAAAAATATACTGTACCATTGAAAATAAGTTTAATGTTTGGTTTTATTTAGAACATCTTTCCAATGATTGCTAAATTTGAAACCATCCTCTCGGTTGAAATTGTGTCTGTGTTTGTAAATCTGAATTGCCTCGTGGACAAATCTCTGATAATAACCCGTGGGTTTGCAGAGAACCTTGGTATCGGAGAAAACTATATCGTGATCACCCACAGCGTTGTAACAGTGATCAGCTACGGCAGAAGAATTCGTTCTGCCATGTTTCAAATCTGATTTGTGCTCGCGAATTCGGTCAGAAACATGTCGTTTCGTCTCCCCGATATAGCGCCTTTGTTACTCCCACACAGCTTAAAGGACGCGACCTGGGCTGGGCTGATTTCACTCCAACGCTGTCCTCTGGACAGTCCGGTCCCTTCACCTGATGAAGGCCACTTGTGTTGTGGCCGAAACGTCGTGATTTTTATTTTTATTTTTTATTGTTTTACCTACGTGACTTTACCGAATAGAACCAAAGAGTATGGATCCTTGCATTCACGAAAGCTTCAAATCTAGAATTTTTGTGCTATTTATTTATGTTACTATGAATAAGGGGCATTTCCCGAAAGTCGCCAAATATATTTTTCCATAAAAGTCCACACGGTGTTATTGACGATTGTGTTGTCGAGTTTTTCTAAATCCCTAATAGAGGTTTTTTTGGGGTTAGATCGCGTAAATATATAAATGTGTCGTTAAACCCGCCACCACCCGACACAGCCACTAAGTATACATCAGCTTTACCCTATTTTGCTGCAAGGCATCAACCGTCTGTGGTTTCAAGGCCGCCACTATGTTCCTGTTGTGATGGGGTTGTTTTCGCTATTTAGGTATTTCATCTCTGAGCCAGCCGGCTATGACTGACTGCCCTGACACTCAACACACGCGTCTATGATGTGACGACTTAACATCCCTGGGGGGGCAGTGGGGGGGAGGAGGGTGGTTGTCTCACCCGACCCCCAAAGACAAAGATCACCCGTATAGCCTTAACAGACTGTTGAGGCAAGTGCCGTTCGCGAGCACCTATGAAGGCCGGAACAGCACACGATGGGGTGGGTGGCCAGCACGACACCCGGCTGCATCTGTCTCCCGGTGGCGATGTTTCTACACCGCACCAGGTACTCATTTGAGGCCGAGTCGACTTAGGGGAGTCCCAAGACCGGTTCAAATATTCGTCACCGGCGTTGGGCGTGGGCGGGAATCGAACTTCGGCACGCCCGGTTGGTAGCGCGGCGTGCTACACACTACCCCCCACCCTACCCCCCACCCTACCCCCCACCCTACCCCCCCACCCTACCCCCCACCCTACCCCCCACCCTACCCCCCACCCTACCTCTACCCTACCTCTACACTACGCCTACCACCACCCTACCCCCACCCTACCACCCCCTACCCCCCCACTCCCCACCCCCACTCCCCCCACCCTACCCCCACCCTACCCCCCCTACCTACACCACCCTACCCCCCCCTACCCCACACCTCCGTACGCGCCCCTCCTTCTCCCCCGCCTCGCTCACCTGCAAGGGGGGGGGGTGGTGGTGACGTCAGCGAGCTGCAGGCGCGGCGTGAAAATGGCGGCGTGTTCGTAGCGACCTGGGCGTTGTGCTCCGAAACTCGAGACGCGCCATCAATTCCTCACACGCGTGCCGAGGAACTGTGGGAGATAGATGCCCACGTATTTGTTGGGGGCGAGTTGTTGTTTTGTTTTTTTGCGTTTCTTCTTAATCTGTTTGTAATTCATTGACCAGCGATGTCTGCACCGAAGATGTCCGTCCCGGGCCTGCTGCTGGCGGCTGTCTTCTTGGCAGGTGTGTGGTGTGTAGTGCGGTCTGTTCAGGCGACGGCTGTACGGGGGATGTTCGTCTTTGTGATTGCTTATAGATCGACTCGGCCAAAAAAAATAGTATCTGGTGGGGGTGTGTAAACATCGCCACTGGGGAGACAAAGACGGCCGGGGTGTGATGCTGCCCACCCACATTCCCTCGTGTGAGTTGAACGTTTTGTGTGTTTGCCGAACAACAACAGCCGCCAATGATCACTTACATTTCATTTTCCGAATCTAAGCCGCTCCTGTTAATCGAGAGCCGGGTGTAGGCAGGTAAAGTCCCGTGTGGCGATCATCATGATCATGATCCTCGGCCATGATCAGTCCACTGCTGGATGAAGGCCTCTGCCATAGCCATCTGGTCAATCCCTGCAGCCGCATCGTCTCCCACACACTGACCGGCGTGGTGAAGTATGGCCAAACAATCCCTCGGTCGGCTCTTAGAAACTAAATTTTTAAACTGATGTTACCAGGTGAGGCCCACTGAGCTATTTAGCTCTTTTTGAGAAGCGGCGAGGCCACAAACGATCGCTCAAACGAGGTGGCCTCATCATCGCAGCGAAATGTCCTCTTCTTAAACGCGTGGATGTTGATTTTAAATGTGGAGGGGGGATACCCCGGAGGACCCGGAGAAAAATCCACGCGACCACGGGCAGAGACAGACGGACAGACAAACTCCATAATTATAATACAGTAGAGACATCGTAAAGAGGAAGGCAGAAGAGGTGGTGGTGGGGCGATGTGGTGCGTCTCGAGCCGCGGGAAGAGAGAGGCGAGGTGGCGTGAAGGTTTGGCAGAAGAGCGGAACACACCCCTAACATTGAGTGGGACAAACACGTGGAAGAAGAAGAAACGCAGGCATCGTCAGGGTCTGGATCGAACCCATGTTAGTCTCCTGTGTACCGGGCGAGGTAGTTAACATCTCCAAGCCGCCTTGGAGAAAGGCGAGTGTCGTTTTGTGACAGGGCAACTCCCACACCACCATCATCGTCAACGTTTATGGCACCTTGAGTTTTAGCGCCAAATCGAGAAATCGTACAGCCCCCTGCATACAATACTTAAATGTAAGTTCTTATACCACGGCTCATTGGTTGTGGAATGACCAGGGTGGTTACTTTCAAAGAAAGCATTTCGTAAAGTGGCGGGTCGTCTGGAATGATCGATCCACTGCTGGATGAAGGCGGCCTCCCCACGTGGCCACTCTCAGTTCTGCAATCATCCTGGTACCTAACCTCGACACACGAGTTGATTTAATTGCTCAGTCGCCTCAGTTAACGTGGTCCCATTCCTATGAATGCGTTCACGTTGCTGGTCGCGATAGTGTTTTAAATACAGTAAAGGTACTTTATGGCAAATGTCCCCTTTAACAAACAACGAGCGTGGTTGGTTGCGAACTCGCCTTGCTTAAAGTAATAACGACGTGTTTGCTCTTGTGTTTTGAGGCTATAATCTTCCATTTTTGTGTGTGTGTTTGTGTATATAGTGTTGTTTGTTTTGTATATCTCGTGCCACCCCAAGGTCCGACTCGACCTTAAATTATTACCCGGTGTGTAAAACATGGGGAGACAAAGGCGGCCGGGCTTGGTTCAGGCCACCCACCTGGCCTACATAGGTGCTACTCGCTCAAAGCGCTTTCCCCAACATTCTGTATATGGGAGATCGTCCCCCTCGTACGTACACGAGAATTCTACGCTGCTCTAAGCATTCTGGAGCGACTTGCTTCGTGTCGTCAGACCTAAGTATATCAATTATACAATTGTGCCTCCTCGGTTGTGATGAATTCCAATCGCTTATGCAATTGGATAGCCAAGGCAAACGCGATGCCGTGCTGATTTGTTTCTGCGAATCCACAATCGTGTCCCCACCTAAAAGTCTTGGCGTGCGCTCGACCATCAAGTTGGGGTGGGGGGTTATTTTATTTTTACGGATTCGCTTCTCGTTTCTACAAAAAAACAACTCGACTCTTACAAAAACACTTCCACCACGGACATTTTAACTGCCCCGTAGTTCCTTGAAGAAGAATTCGGGCAACTCTAGTAAATCAGCCAACGTTGAGCCAACAACGTTGGCCAACAACGTTGGCTCAACGTTGGCTCGTGGTTGGTTGCCGGTCGGTCAACGTTGCCACAACGTTGACCGAACGTTCCATGTTTACTGGGACACAACCTAAGTCCCAAGGCAAAGGTACCCCGTAGAACATTTTTAAACTGTTAGGGGCAAGTGCTGTTAGCGAGCCACCTATGAAGGTTGTAACGACACACACGACGGGGGAAGGGGTAGTGGGTGGCCAGCACCACGCCCGGCCGCCTTTGTCTCCCCAGTGGCAATGTTTACACACCGCACCAGGTACTCATTTGAGGCTGAGTCGACCTCGGGGAGGCCCAGGACCAGTTCAGATAATCGTCGCTGATGTTGGTGGCCGTGAGCAGGAATCGAACTCGGGTCGCCAGGTTCGTAGCGCAGTGCACTAACCGCTACACTGCCGCAACCCAAGCCCACAATCCCCGCGACAAGCACCATTCGCCACGAGATGGTGGTATTGTCACCAAGGGGCTTGTGCCAGGCTAGGTGCACGTGTCAAAAGGCTCGCTGGTTACGGGAGGTCACGGTACAGAATCGAGTGTTATGGGTTGACTGATGTGCCAGGCTAGGTGAAGGTCACGGGGCAGACCCAGGTGTTATGGCTAGATTGGAAACTTTTCTTTAGAACTGCTTTGTGCATCTAGATTGTTGTCCTTGCCCGGCACCTCCGATTAGCACGGCACGGTTGGCTACGTACGGTGCGAAAGAAGGTCAACATACAGTACATTGTCTGACATGCTCGGCAGATGCACCAACTGTGCTCTGTGCTGCACAAACTGTGGCAATCACACACAGAAAATGTTTACGAACAAACCCATCATAAAGCATCGTGCTTTATAAAGGGTTCGCGATTACTTTTGGAAAACCGGTACGTGATCAAAATAATAAAAGCTCACAGGGTAGCGTAGTACATCAACAGTCAGCAGCCTTGCCACGTGTCAAGTCGGTCTGGCCATACCGGGCACCTCTCAAACACAACCGAGCGAAGGGCCACTTCTCGGCTTCCCGTTCCCATGTCGAGTTGTGCGTCCTGCCCCTGCACCACAGTTGTTTCTGCCCGGCAGCAGGTGGGTGAACAAACGGAAGTGTACATGGGCCGTATCGCAACGTATTGCGGGGAGTGGTGGCGAAATAGTTAGCGCGGCGCACTACGAACTCCTGACCAGCCGAGTTCGATTCCCGCTCACGGCCACCAACATCAGATACCAAGATCTGAACCGGTCCTGGGCCCCTCCCCGTACATGGCCGTCTTTCTGGCCGAGCGTGTCCCCACACGCCCACCCAGCCTCCACCACCCGTCAGCGCCGCTTCTGCTCACATCGCCAATTCCCTACACAGAGGGGTGGGGTATATTTATATTAGCCGGGTGGCATTTGTTGCTACGCACGTGGCTGCCCGTAACCCAGCGCCGTGGAGGCAGCTACGAGGGTTGGTGGACCACCGCGCTGTTATTGCGAAACTCCCTGTAGGTGTCGAGGAAGAGCCATTCGCCTGGCTCGCCAAGAGAAAGCAGCACCGCAAAAAAGTGCGGCCTGCACGTGTTGCGTCTGAATGGGATAGACGTTTCCCCCGTCACGTGCGTGGGTTTGCTCCCACACGTAAACATTTATTAATTGGCCTGTAACAACTTTATATAAATATATAGGACCGCAGAGCTTGGGCACTTGTTGGTTTCCAGCTCACCGCTTGGCTGCCGCCTTCCCGCTCGCCTTCCGAAGTCGTTCCCTGTCAACGAGAGCAAGCGAACGCTGGGCGCCGTTAAGAGTTGAAATTATTGCAAAAACTTGGCCTCCTATTCCACACAGGCCAGACGTGGGAGTTGCCACACTTTATATCCCACCACACGCGACCGGCCGATGGACTAACTGGTGCACCCATTTATTGCTGGCTGGATAGACACGGGTCCGGCCGAATGGCTCACAGGGCTTTACCAAATAAATGAAACTATGAGGTTAAGAAATGTGCACCTTTGTTCCAGCTGCCACGCCGGGTATAATGGGGTTGTTGTGCTGACCCATTACCACCACCAGGGCACGATTCATTGTGGCTGTAGCTTCGTTAACACAGAACCCCTCTCTGGGTTCCGTGTCCAGTTACATCGAGTCCACCTCACCTGTCTAACTCAGGGAGGAGGCGGAGTGCCAATGTGTATTTGTTTTCCTTGAAAGGGGGGGGGAGGGAATGCATTGTTTGTCGTGAACACTGCATTTAGCCCATTTATAGGCTGCAGCAAATCAAACCATGAAAGTATTTGGTATTCGTGCCATTCTTACAGTGGTAAGGCTATCGCTTAAGGTGCTGGCAGTAGTTGAGCAGAAAGGGGGCTGTTTTTTTCCCAACTGGGGTAATCTGCGAGCAATTTGGACGGCAATGCCGGCACCAGCACAGTATGGTCCAACAGCCCCCATGGATGGGCACGGGGTAGGGGAGGCCTTCAAAGATACCGCAGGTTATAACATTGTAATACTGCCTATCCGCACACACTCACCCGCCAACCGAATCGCCCATCAACCTGCGATCGTATCCGTGAAAACTCCTCGTAAGATGGTACAGCACTCCTGAGATTTACGGTTGTGTACACATTACTGGTGGTGAGGCATTATAACAGCCCTTTACTTGGGGCAAAATAAACATCCAACATCACCAAAATAATTCCTATTAATGAATATCGTCATTTTCCGAGGCTTCGTTCCGGCAGAGTCCAATTATACTCCTCTCGAAGCTTCGTCGTGCAAGTCGCCACAGGTCGCCGCCGATGTCGTGGTAGAAAACACAAAAACACCGCGGCGTAACCCCCTGAGGTAGGACGCACCTCGCTGGCAAGATGGTTATGTTGCCAGTAGCCAGATGAGCAGGTTTGGAATGTGTGTGTATGTTGAACTTCCTTCGCACTGTACGTAGCCAACCGTGCTAATCGGAGATGGCCCTACCTTTGAGCCACGGTTTGGTATATAGTACGCACTTCATTTAAATTCCGTTACCTTGCGTTGCAGCATCCAGGGACATGTCGGAAGAGTTGTCGTTGATTAAGAAAAGTAAATAAAAGCTGAAAAAGGTAGCGCTGAAGCACTGTGGGTTGCGAGATGGGAATAGATGGGGAATAGTGTCGAAGCAGCAACGGAACAGCGTGTGGATGGATGTTGGAGATGTCATTTTGACTGTGAAGAAAAGTAAGTCTGCTGGAGCAGTGCACGTCGCTAGAATCCGCTGACGGCCGGTGGCCAAGACGAATGACGTAGTGGCAAGTCAAAAAGGAGGAGGGCACAGACCCGAGAGAACGTCCACAAGCAGAGATGGAGCGATGAAAGCGGCATGTGCCCCGGTGCTCGGGCAGGAGTGTTCCATTATCGCAGGACAATGAGAGTTGGCGATAGCTCGGGACGGCCTTCAACCAGCAGTGGATTTATCATGGCAGATGATAATGTAATATGCCACGAATAAGCTGTGCTGTGAAAAGTTGAATCGTCCAGTATGGCACTAATGCTATCCTCTGTTGCTATCCCTGAGCCTGTGGTGGATGTTCCACAACACACCTACTGTTGATTGCTTCGGTAATACATCTTGTGTACCAGATATTAATTTCTGTATTTTATGTACCGTGCCAAATCTGACTCGGATGTTTTGTTTTTACAAACATCTGACTAGTCATCAGTTGCTCCCGCAATGTACGGTATTTTGATCGTCTTAATTACTTTGGCAGTTTTAATGCTCGTGTTATTTGATTTGGTTTTGGCATTCAATGTTATGTTGATGTGTGCATCATTGTAACCGTTCATTTGCAGCGCTTCTTTTAACATGTTGAATTTCACTTCTCAGCCTGTCACCATCTGACACTTTGTTCGATGAATGAGCGTCTTGATAAGAGCAGATTTCTGCGCGGGGTGATGGTGTGACTGCATTCAGATAGGTGTCAGTATACGTTTCCTTTCGGTAAACAACGTGTGTTATTTTACCATTTATATATTTACACGATCTAACCCAAAAAAACTTATGGATGATATTGGTCGCGAAAGCCTACGTTTGAAAATGTTTTATAGTGCTGACCGATTGTTTATCGAATAGCAAAATCCAATCATTACATTTTTGAATGAATAACTTAATTCTAATAATGCTTTATAAATGTTTAGTGGCCTGATTGACAGCACGGCAATCACGACCTCATCTGTTTTGTAGTTTCGTTACTTTTTATTAAATTGGTAAATCGTCATCTAATGAAATATGATCATCTCGTCAATTGCCACCCTCTTTACAGAGGGTTGGCAACATGCAGCTCCCCCCCCCCCCCATCCATCTCGTTGAGTTGCTGATCCACATCCAAGTTAATTTACTTCTTCCATGATCTGCCCATCGCCTTTTGGGTCTTCCTCGTGATCTCTGTGCAGGTGTACATCCTTGTATTATACACAACCTCCATGTAATTTCTGTCATCATACGCATTCCCAGACATTCATTTTCCACGCCCAAGTGATTTCTAGCTCCCATTTTCCCGTTCGGGCATCTGCCCCTTGACAGCCATTTGTACTTTGTAGTCATTCCAGCCCCGGTGAAATCTTACAATCTTGTCGTGAAGAATGAAAGTTGTGACGACGCTCGTTCTAACTCGGACCGCTCCACGGGTGCCACGCAGTTCCTCTGGGCACATATGGCTCGGGCGGGGTGACGGTGACCATGCCCACTCCCGAATTGGAGGCGGCACGGGATGGAGAGATCATCCTGCCCTGCACCTACACCAGCACGGTGTCAGATCGCAACAACTTGTACATCTCGTGGGCCAAGGAAGAGGAGAAGAACGACAAAATGGTGAGTAGGGACACCGCGACGGTGAGATGTTAACTCCCTTACCTGGTATGCAGGATGTCGTGGGTTCAATCCCGACACCTGTATATTTGGAGTTTGCGTGTCCATGGTCGGATGTATTTATCTTCGGGTCCTCCGGTTTTCCCCTGCATTTAGAGTCAAAATGTACGTAGAGTATTTGACTGCTATACATTTCCACATGATAATCCTCTTAATTGAGCTATCATTGGTGACCAGCTCGCTTCTTAAAAAAAGATATCTAGCTCAGTAGGCCTTACCTGGTAAAATACAAAGTTTCATTTAGTCGGCCAAATATCTTATTGTTGGGCCTTACCGGAGCTCCGTTGAGGAGGGAGGCACTGCCTTCTGCCTCTCGGCCCGTGTGCAGGTGATCGTGTACATGGGGAAGCAGACATCCGTGTCGGACGAATACTTCGTTGGTCGCGTGTCGTTCGCCGGAGACTACCTCGCAAACAACGTGGGCATCAAGATCACGAAGCTGCGAAATGAGGACAATGGCGTATACAAGTGCAGTGTCACCAACATGCCGGGCACAGACAACGGGCACATCACGCTCATTGTCCTGGGTGAGCGCGTTCGCACGGCACTGTGCCACGCAAACAAGTGCACGCACGTACACACGCACATTTATGTGCACGCGGCTGTCAAGGTGACTCCAAGAACAAAGAGCCTTTTTTATATTTATTTCGATTTAAAGCTTTCGTGACCGCAGGGATTCATATTCTTGGTTCTTTCGGTAAAGTCACGTAGAAGGGAAATAATACAAATAAAATAAGGATTTGATAAACCATTTCGGGTCTTAATTGATTGTGTTCACGCTTACGGTGACTTTCAGACCGCTTTCTATCTCCCCCCTCCTCCGTTCCGAGCACTGATGGACTCGCCGGTCTGAACAACCGCCAGTTGCTGTCCGTGGTGCTAATGTTAAGAAAAAAACGCCACTTTTTTCAAATTTTCTTGCTGTGGTTTTCACACCTGATGATGATTGCTTCTGTTGCAATCGAAACGTCGTGATAATTTTATTGTTTTATTTGTATTATTTTGTTATTTCCCTTCTACGTGACTTTACCGAAAACCAAGAATATGAAGCCCTTTTTATATTGCCCTTTTTTGACGAAGATGGATTCTGTTTCGAGGCATCTCACCATGATCCCGTCCGTCGTGGGTTTTCAAGTTGATTTTGATTAACCCAGGCGAGAGCTCGAGAGACCAGGTAAGCGTCTCGTTTGCGAGAGTGACCTGGGGCGTTAGTCCCGTCAGGAGGAGGTGTTGATCGCCGCTTTATTTAACTCTAGTTGCGTAATTTGTGGGTCATTTCGAATTTGGCAAGTTTTGTTGGTTACGTTTGTTAGTAGGCACGTGACGATTTCACTCTCCGCTGAATCGGTTAATTAACACACTTCACAATTGTGATTTTATTCTGGAATTTGTTTTGTCTTGTGTTTTTTCCATTTCGTTTGTATTCGTTTTTTTCCCCTCTCATTTTGGTCCCGCCAGTATCATAAACATAACAGCATATAAAATGCACATGTTATGAATGGTAAATATTAAATTGAGGTGAGTGGCTGGCTCGAATGTCAAAACAGCATGGAGCCGGCACCGCTGAGTTCCTGGGTTTGAATCCAGGCAGCTTGTTCTTTGAATTAAACCGGGTTCTCAAATCTAGAGAATCTATGGTCTCAGCTCAGTCACCAAAGACTGGACAAAAAAACTATCTTCTTTGGTTCTTTCGGTAAAGTCACGTAGAATGAGAATAAAATAATAAAATAAAATTCTCACGACGTTTCGGCCACAACGCAAGCGGCCGTCTTCAGGTGGGACGACAGTTCTGTACCTTTCACCTGAAGACGGCCGCTTGCGTTGTGGCCGAAACGTCGTGAGAATTTTATTTTGTTATTTTATTATTTTATTCTCATTCTACGTGACTTTACCGAAAGAACCAAAGAAGATTAATCCTTGCAGTCACGAAAGCTTCAAATCGAAAAAAACGACCGCGTTAAATGTAATTTTTCATTTTTGAATTATGACATTTAAAATTCTGGGATTGATTGTCATCGTGACAGAGCGGGTCTAAAAATGCTACCCCTTACTGTGGACCAGAGGTCGCATACAGGGATCTCAGAAGCTTTGTTGTCCAAAGCCTCTGAGCCTTGCTTTAATACAGAGGGTCAATAAACCGGTGCATCGTTCCACACTTATTTTATCAAACGGCGAAATTGGCGAATGCAACAACGGCTCATCTGCTGTCCCCCCCCACTCCCCTCCCGTTTTCTTCGGTCTCCGTGCCGCGAACCCGCAACCACAACTGCTCGTGGTCCCCACCACCGTCAACCGCCGGGCAGTGGCTCCAACCAAGCCGGTTTTCTCTTTGGAGGGCAAGGCCGAGATCTACCACGACGTGAAGCTCGTGTGCCGCTGCAACGAGGGTTCTCCGCCACCGACGTTTTCCTGGCGGCGCTTGGACGCCAACGGCATTCCCGTTGCGTTGCCAGTCGGCTCCCTGGAGGGTGAGTTGGGCGCGTGGTCGGGGTGAACCGGCAGCGGTCGGACGTGCACGCGCGCTGTGAGCGCCCATTTACAATGGGAGCAGAGACGTCGACTCGTTTGTGAAGTTAGGTTGTCGGCTTACTTGCCGACACATTTGCGGTCACACGGGCACACTGAGCCGAGTTGCTTAGCCTTTGACGAGTGAGGAGCAACTTAGTTATATATTTTTTAATTTTGTTTATCTGGGAAAGCCTCACTGGGCCTGAAGACTTTCTTCACAAGGTTTTTGCGTTGTGACGTTTTGGCCAGTTCTATTAATGAGGGCAAACTATTTGGTTGATACTGCAGAGCACGTGGGAGGAAACCGGAGTAAAAAAAAACCCCACAGGCAAGAATAACACTGAGCTCTGCACAGATGAATTCGATACTTTATTGCTATAGTACCATCTCCTGTCCAACTCTGCAGCCCAAGCCTGCAACGCCTGGTCATTCCCAGGCAGCTTCCCATCCAACTGCTAACCAGGCTCAACCCACTGCTTTGCTTCCGAGATACAATCGGAGCACGTCTGTTCGGCCTGATTCGGTCGTTGGCAAAGGGAAGACGCAACCCAACAAACGCAGCTCTTCTTTAGGAGCATATAACTACAGTACGACAACGACTGCCCTCTGCTGTTCAGCATGCCGTAGCTGCAGCGGCAGCAGTCTATGGCACCTGTTCTTAGCGCGGTGGCTGCCCAAGGGAGCACTGTCCAGGCTCAGGACTGCTTAGCGTCTGAGAGTGAATGATATTGGGGTGCATTCCGGGCGATTTAGCCATAAGCAGTGGAGGTAATTTTTACTCAATCACATTCTTTTGCCGCTGAAACAGACGGACCCCAGTGGGGCAATGCGGCACGTAATTCATTGCACGCACGCCTTGGACGCAAAACGGAAGCTGCCCACTTTCTGATAGCAGGGCGCAAAGTCCACGCTTGTTCATGAGCAACAGTTTGTTCGTTATATTAAATAAACAAATATAGTATACAGCCGCATGACAATCATTAACATCAGTGCACTAAATCCGTTCTGACATCCAATCGGTGTCACGGTAAATTAAGCCAGGGGGTTACTCGATTGGAATGCACATTGCAAACATCACCCCCTAACTGCGAATATAACAACCCTGGCAGGACCCTCCTGATAATGGTCGTGAGGCTCTCCTGGGCAAACGAGCGTGGTAATAAAATAATAATTATTATTATACGGTAAAAGCCCCATGATGTACCACGGCTCATTACACCGCGGATTCGGATACACTGGGAGTCGAGTAGTGTCCCCCCAAAAAGCAAATAACATACGCGGGTGGATGAGAGCAGAAGAGACACGTCAGATAGTTTGTTCACTGCGTAGAGCAGTGATGGGGTCTTGGCGGCCAGTGGTGTGTTTGCTGTGGCTCTTCCGGAGGTCCTATATTGTACAAGTGGATACACATTAATAATTCATTTACATATAACTATTGTAAGTCGGTCATCTGTGTGCATCGGTCGTCTTTTCCTTTAGTCTGTGACTAACCAATTGTCTCCTGTAAGATCATTAACCTCGCCTCTTCCCCAGGATACCCGTGTCTCACTGCGTCTGTACAGCGTAAGTTTAATACGAAGTACTCTTTGGTTCTTTCGGTAAAGGCACGTGATTTTACCGAAATAAACCAAAGAGTATGGATTCCTGCAGTCACGAAAGCTTCAAATCAAGATTTAATACGCAGTCTCAATTAGATGCCAATTTTATGATGTAACTTATTTTAATCTATAACCCTCCACCACCTGATAGAGCCAATAAAATCACCCACGTGACAACTTGTTTTAATTGGAGGGTTATCGTGTAAAAAAATTACGTCATACCGACACAACGATCTAACCCAATTATAAATGACAATTTGATGTTACATAAGGCATCATTCCACTCCCCCCCCCCCCCCCCCCGACTAATCATCAGCTGTGATCCGATTTTATATCTCCTCCACGGCGGACGCGCTGTATATATGTGCGTTGAACTTTTTTCGCACCGTACGTAGCCAACCGTGCTCCCTCTTTTGGGCACTGTCATGCCACCGTTTTCGTCACGAACACCACCCCAACTAAAACCCAGAAATCCTAATGGGCTCTCGGGGCTGATGAGTTTGACCGCGGTGAAGATGATTGATGAATGTATCCCTCTCGCTGCAAATGCCACATTAACTAAACTATAACTATTTTTATTTTAGCAGGTGTAAGGCCCACTGAGCTATATAGCTCTTTTTCAGAAGCAACCGAGCGACAACCGATAGCTCAATAAAATGGCTCATCATGTGGAAATTTATAGCAGCATAATTCTCTAAATGTAGTGGGAAAAAACAGAACCCAGAGAAAAATCTACACGACCACGGGGAGAACATGCAAACTCCAAATATACAGGCATCAGGGTCGGGATCGAACCCACAACCTCCTTCATACCATGCGAGGTAGTAAACATTTTTCCACGGTGGCTCCCAAGTTGAGTTAAACACGGCTGGTTTTTTTTCAAGCATTTCACGTCTCGTCGCGGCAGTTGAACGATGCCGACGTAATGGGCATGAAAACGCTCGTCCGCAAACAGGCGATGTGACCAGGGCCGCCCCCCCCGCCCCCCCTTCAGTCCGGTTTTACCCCGAATGTTGTGCCTCGCTCGCTCGGATTACTCGTGTCGTTGCCGCTCTGGTTTCCCCCTCTCCCGCTCTGGTTTCCAGGCCCAGCAGCGCTGCGGGGTTAAGTTGCGCTGCCGTCACGGCGCTCGCGTTACGTGAAAGCGTTCAAAAAGTTAAATTCCTCATCTCGCTGGCGTCGTGTTAATTAGTGATGTAAGGACGCCATCTGTCGATCAGTTTACAATCGCTTAACCTGCTCACAGCACGCGTTTCGAATCACTCGTGCGTAGATTAATTATTTATGATAGAAGGTAATCGTACTAATGTTACATTAAGGCTAAGAGAGCAAACAAAACTGTACAAGCGAGAACGGCGTTAATTATTCTGCAGCACCGTTCCTGTCTTGTGCTCCGTTTAAATGTTGTTGTCCTCGCTAAAGTGTTTGTTTATACCATTTATTGTTTAGAAAGTGAACCTCGCTAACTCGTTACTGGGAGAGAGCTGCGCAAGGATGTTTCGGCCTATTTCATCTTAAATCGGAGGGTTTGTATCATGAAATAGAAAACTGGAGCACCTGGAGAAAACCTACCCCACATTGATGGAATGACAAACAGTGGTCCGTGTAGACCAGTCCTTGCCTCCAAAGCACTGGATCACAGTTGCGTGCCAACGTAAAAAAAAAAAATTGTAATTTATTTATTTGTATCCCTCCAGTTTGATCCGATTCGCGCTCTCCGCGCGACGTCTTCACGCGGCCTATCCGTTCGGATCTCGCAGAAGCAGCGCGACGCATCGCGTTTGGGGAACGACCCGCTGAGGCGGATATAGCAGAGCTACGTCCCCGAGATCCCTTGGAGCGACGTCCATGTTTCGTACGGCACGGGGCAGCGGTTGACGCTTTTTGCCGTTCCTCTTCCGGCGCCGACCCCTCCTCGCCCCCTCGTGCGCGCCCAGACGCTGCCGCCGGAACGCTGTCGCTGAAGAACCTCACGCTGCAGTCGAGTGGCACCTACGAGTGCACGGCGACGAACAAGGTCGGCAGGATGGTGACCAACGGCACGCTCTCCGTCACCTACCGTGAGCCCCGCGCCGCCAGCACCGAGCATCCGTTCGGAGCATAGCAGTACGGTACAACATTCGCCGTCGCTGCTCTGCCTCGCCGCAACGCAGCTCCGCCAGTGGTTTTTGACGGTGCCTGTCTGGAAGCGAGTCGGCGCGCCGTCCGCTGTGACCGCCGCTGCCACCTCGTGCGCGTGAATGCGTGCGCTCGCGTGTTAACCCCCCTCCCCTCCCCTTAACCGGACGCAGCCCAGAGCAACGCGATGATGTACGGAATCATAATCGGGGCCGGGCTTTTGGGGTTCCTGATTTTGGTCGGCATCATCATCTACTGCGTGCGGAGGAGGAACCGCAAGCGGCGTGAGGAGGAAGGCTACTACAGCGACGGGGAGTACGAGATGGAGTGAGTACATCATCTAATCCACACGGTATTCAACCACCAACACTGCAGATCACAAAAACTCACTCGCCCACTCACTCCCCACGCACTGCAGGTCACAGTACTGCTCTTTATGCTTCTTCCCTTGCACTGCTCGCCTTTGTAATTCCTTCCAATCTCAAATCAATTCACTTTTCAAGTAAACGTAACATTACATCGATACAATGTAAGTAACACAGAACAATAAGAAGTGTACACATTAGTACAAAGTATACAAAATCGATTAAAACATACATCTTCAGCCCCTGGGAGCCTTTTTTTCCAGAGCCAGGAAGCCGCTCTTATTTGACTCCCGGCTGTTAACGTGCCAACGCGCTCCGCCAACGCACTGCGCCCTCTCCGCGACAGGGGAGAGGAGGGTTACGATGAGAAGCGCGACCGCGGCAACGCCGGCGACCGCGACGTCCCGCGAGAGAAGTACCTGGCCGTGTCGCGCGCCACCAAGGACGACGAGCGCAGCGACAAGGGCGGCGCTCGGCGCTACCGGAACGGCGGCGGCGACGACGACTACTCGGACAGCGAGTCGCGGCGCGGCAACGGGGACACGGGCCAGCGCAGGTGACACGCGCACGCGGGTTGGCGGGGGGGGGGAGATGCCTTCCGTGACGTCGTTCAGGGTGCGGGACGAGTACGAGGAGTTATCGCTTTGATCTTGATTCGAAGCTTTCGTGACTGCAGGAATCCATACACTGGTTCTTTTGGTCAAGTCACGTGGTGATGTTTCCATCCTACCTGCCTATGCCAGCTGTTATTTGCGACCCTCTGTGTGTCTTTCTCTCCCTCTCTCTGTGCATCTCTCTCCGATCTCTATTCCAGTGACCCGGGTGCTGTCGCGGGGTCCACTTTCTGCCCCGCCTCCTTCACCCCCCCCCTTCTCTCCCCCCCCCCCCCCCGACTGCCGAGGCCTACACTATGTAACCTCGTACCACGGCAGATCTCTCGCCTACTTCAGTAGTTTGTTCTTGCTGTGGTTGTCCCACCTGATGACGATTGCTTGTTGCGATCGAAACGTCGTGATCTATTATTTTTTCTGGTTATCGCTTTGTCGGTTCTCCCCCCCCCCCCATCGCCCCTCACAACTGTGAATAGCATTTTTTTTTTATGTTGGAAATGTTAATGCGCTAACTTTGTCCGTCATGTCTAACCGTAATGTTGGGTCATGATAATTCTCATGGGGATGATCAAATTGAAATGAAAATTTAGTCTATAGTTGCGTTGCAATTGGGAAATTACCCTACAGAATACCGGACAATATTTATTTAAGGTTTAGCCAAGACTTGGCGATTGAGGCGGTGAGATTTTTTTTGGGCCAAGATGCTGAGGTCCACCAGCCAGGCGCGATCGCTTACCCAATGACATTATCGCAAATAGAAAATATTGTATTTCTGAGGACAAATGGATTTTAGAAGGCATATGGCGTGAACTTTCAATGCGAATGGTTGCTTAAAAGTTGTGCAACTGCAATTCAATTGGCCTGCCCCGAGTGGCGTTGTACAAATCGCCATGCCGTCAATTACGGGTCGCGTTATTACAAAGCGCTAAATTAACGCGTAATCTCTGTTTAATCCACTTTTGAAGTTTAATCATAGTTTCGATTTAAAGCTTTCGTGACTGCAATGATTCATCATCTTTGGTTCTTTCGGTAAAGTCACGTAGAATGATAATAAAATAATAAATTGATAAAATAAAATAACACAATAATATTCTCACCACGTTTCGGCCACAACACAAGCGGCCTTCATCAGGTGAAGGGGGCGAGACTGTCTGGTAGGACAGCGCTGGAGTGAAAGAGCCACGTTCAGATACGGCCTTTAAGCTGTGTGAGAGGAACAAAGCGCCTTGACAAAGGAATTAGCATATAATTTAGCATTGAAATGGCTGAATGATTAGCTTGTGACTGGTCACAGAAATAGCTATGTTAAAAGTTAAAGCATACACACCCGCAGAGGCACCCATTGTTAAAGGGATTAGCATAGAATTTAGCATTGAAATAGCTAAGTTAAGGCATACACATCTTGACAATGGAATTAGCATAGAATTTAGCATTGAGATAGCTGAGTGGTTAGCTTGTACCTGCTGCAGAAATAGAGCTTGTACCTGCTGCAGAAATAGCTACGTTAAAGTCGGAGCATACACATTCACCGAGGCCCTTAGTACAAATCAAACAGGAGAATTTAGCATTGAAATAACTAGGCGAATCCAGCATTGAAACAACTGAGTGATTAGCTAGTGACTGGTCACAGAAATGACTACACATCTGAGCTATTCACAGTACTATATAGTGAACCAATAAAAACTAAAATATAAATTACCTTCATGTTATCAATAAACTCTATATTCTCCAATCAGCTAAGCTACCAACAATAAGTCGTTATATATCACAATTATATTACGGTAGGACGAACTCCTCTGCCGTGGCAGATCACTGTTATAATTCAGTGGGCTCACATGACATTGACTTCTCCAAGACGGAGGTTCTTTGCAAAACCAACCGGCTACCAAACCAACCGGCTACCTTGTATATGTGAATGGCCTCATGAACGAATCTCTCATGGTAGCCGGTTGGTTTGCAAAGAACCTCCGTCTTGGAGAAGTCAATGTCATGTGAGCCCACTGAATTATAACAGTGATCTGCCACGGCAGAGGAGTTCGTCCTACCGTAATATAATTGTGATATATAACGACTTATTGTTGGTAGCTTAGCTGATTGGAGAATATAGAGTTTATTGATAACATGAAGGTAATTTATATTTTAGTTTTTATTGGTTCACTATATAGTACTGTGAATAGCTCAGATGTGTAGTCATTTCTGTGACCAGTCACTAGCTAATCACTCAGTTGTTTCAATGCTGGATTCGCCTAGTTATTTCAATGCTAAATTCTCCTGTTTGATTTGTACTAAGGGCCTCGGTGAATGTGTATGCTCTGACTTTAACGTAGCTATTTCTGCAGCAGGTACAAGCTCTATTTCTGCAGCAGGTACAAGCTAACCACTCAGCTATCTCAATGCTAAATTCTATGCTAATTCCATTGTCAAGATGTGTATGCCTTAACTGAGCTATTTCAATGCTAAATTATATGCTAATCCCTTTAACAATGGGTGCCTCTGTGGGTGTGTATGCTTTAACTTTTAACATAGCTATTTCTGTGACAAGTCACAAGCTAATCATTCAGCCATTTCAATGCTAAATTATATGCTAATTCCTTTGTCAAGGCGCTTTGTTCCTCTCACACAGCTTAAAGGCCGTATCTGAACGTGGCTCTTTCACTCCAGCGCTGTCCTACCAGACAGTCTCGCCCCCTTCACCTGATGAAGGCCGCTTGTGTTGTGGCCGAAACGTCGTGAGAATATTATTGTGTTATTTTATTTTATCAATTTATTATTTTATTATCATTCTACGTGACTTTACCGAAAGAACCAAAGAAGGTTTAATCATAGTCGTGACCTTTTTTTGTTATTCCATAAATATTGTCGGGAAATAAAATAATAAAAGGCTGAAATGAGCAACAATGATCGTGATGTAACAAACCTCCTGCCACTGTCCGTCTCCAGGAACCGGCGGGACCGATACTCGGACGACTCCGATGACGAAAGCCGCGGGCGCCAGTCCCGGCAACGGCGCGACCGGGACGGAGGCGACTACGACCGGGATCGCCCGCACCACCGCAGCCGCGACCGCGACCTGGACTACGACGGAGATCGGGGCCGCGATCGCCCGCACTACCGCAGCCGCGACCGGGGTCTGGACGATGATCGCGATCGCCCGCACTCTCGCAGCCGCGACCGGGGTCTGGACGAAGATCGCGATCGCCCGCACTACCGCAGCCGCGATCGGGGTCTGGACGAAGATCGCCCGTACTCCCGCAGCCGCGACCGGGGTCTGGACGACGATCGCCCGCGCAGCCGCGACCTGGATTACGACGAGGACCGCGGTCGCCCGTACTCCAGAAGCCGCGACCGTGGCCTGGATCGCGACGACGGGGAGGGCAGCGAGTACCGCGGCAGCGGCGGCGGCGGCGGCGGGGAGCGATGGCGCGACAACGGCGACTCGCACTCGGAGACGGCGTCGTCGGTGGCGCGCGACACGAGGCCCAGGCCGCCGCCCAACAAACCCAAAATCATCCTCGACAACGCCGACGCGACGGCCGACGTGTGACCCCAGGGTCGCGCGAGACACGCCGGCCCTGGCCCACGCCGCCCGCACGTCTACGCACCGCACTCGTGCCACTTGCACCACATGCAAGACCCGCAACACCTGCACCACCCGTACCACCTGCAACCACCCGCACCACCTGCACCACCCGCCACACCTGCAATCACCACCCGCACCACCTCCACCACCCGCCACACCTGCGCCACACCCGCACCACCCATCACTGCTGTCACACCCATCACCCGCCACACCTGTGCCACCATGCTACCGCCCACACCACCTGCACACGAGCCCGAAGCGGTTGCGCCGTACAGCGTTCCGATGCGGTTCCAGCTTGTTCGGCTCGACACGTGTCTGGGTGTCGCTTTGCGCCACGTTGCTGCACGTGGAGCGAAACGCCAGACAACGCGGGGTTCTTGAACACGCGCCCCTCGGGGGCCACCTGAGGCCTTCCGCTTCGAAATGGCTCGCAAATGATGTTCTTCCATCGCCACGAACGCCTTTTCTCGTACAATAATTACTCGCCCGGCCGTCTTCCAGCAGTGAAGTGACCATGGTTGGTGATGATGCATGCTTCTTGGCCACACTAATCACTTCAAGGGTCTCCTGCAGTGGATAAAGTGTGACCCCGCGTGCGCGTGTGTGTGTCGACACGTGGTTGCCTGCTGAAGATTTTTAAATATCCGTTTTAGTCCTAGGTAAATAAAAGGTTCCTCACCCCTTCACACCGCATAAACGACGTTTGTATGCATCACCTACACCATAGACGCCCTTCACACCACATAAACGGCGTTTGTATGCATCACCTACACCATAGACGCCCTTCACACCGCATACACGAAGTTTGTATGCATCACCTACACCATAGACGCCCTTCACACCGCATACAACTAGCCTGTCCACATAATCTGCACCATCAGCAGCTTGTTTAAGATCGATATCATTTGCATACACTAAACATCTACACCAATAGACCGTACACTATTAGTCCATCAACTGCACAGTCAACAGCATCTACACAAACCGTATTACGCGTTCCACACGCCATCCACATGATCTCCACCATAATACCACCTGCAATTCTCCATCGTATCCATCATCCACGCCACCACGTCCTTAACAGCAGTGGTGGCAAATGCACGCAGCGCCGTTATCCAGTTTGGTGGTTCTCATCGGGCTCTGCGATCCACCAGGACGGCTGTGACCCAACAATTTCCCGGATGGCTTTAAGCCTGTAAAGTCCTACAGACATCAAGTAACTAGCGCCATCTATTGCTAGGCGTTATTCTTATTTTTGTATTAATTCGTCGGTGATTTTTTTTTATTTGCATTCAGCTGTCGTGAAAAAAGGTATGCTTACATTAGTGTTTGATCGAGATCCATGGGTGGATCGCCATCCACGATGTGGCCACCTCTGTTTTACCATCTACAATTTTGGCACTCAGGGCTTTAGGGTTTCTTCGCCGACCAATTGAAGCAATTGGCGGGACCCCGGGGTCCCATCACTGCCCCGGGGTGGGAAAAACCGCGTAGCGACACGAGTCTTGTGTGCCTTACCGACAACAAAACTAGTGGTCAATCGATTGGCCTCGTCGAGAGCTACTCGGACACAAAGTTTTGTAAAAAAGTTGAAAAATTACATAAACACGTTAAATTCACTGCAGGGGCGGGCTCGCCTTGGCAAAGAAGCTGAGGATCGACGGCTGACCGGAGGGCGTCGTCGCCGCGCGCGACTGCGGCGGACGCCCCCCGGGGCTCGCGTTTGGCCGGTGGGGTGGCGCCCATCGTGTCGATCGCCGCCTGCTGCTGCTGCTGGCGCTTGTTGGCGCGAGTCTGGGCAGGCGGCGCGTTGCTGTCGGGATCACGAGTGGGCGGACTGAAAAATAATAATTATTTACCTGATTTTTGCGGGACCCCAGGGTCCCGCCAAATGATTCAATTAACCAATTTTGCGAGCGTGTGACCTGCGTGTTTGACGTGACCACCAATCGCGGCTACGATTAAAACAAATTGCCTCGATTTAGGCGAGCATTCTCTTGCTGAAATGGCATGCAATTAAGGCGTTAGAAGCCTTATTTTATTTTCATTGCGGGTGATGCATTCTTGGGTGTTTGTCTGATTTTCAAGAGCAGGATTTGGTAGCGGTCGTTTGGGAAATTATTTTCAAAGTGGACGTCTGTATAATATTTTATACGTGTGCATATGGTGTGTAAACATCACCACTGGTGATACAAAGGCGGCCGGGCGTGGTGCTGGCCACCCCCATGTGTGCCGTACCGGCCTTCATAGGTGCTCACTATCGGCACTTGCCCCCAACAGTCTGTTAAGGCTGCCCGGGGAGATCTTTGTGTGCAGAACTCGCGTATCGCTCAGACTTAAACTTCAAATCCCATCTGACACACCAGGCACATTATTCCAGCAAAGTTCAAATCTGCCGGCGTCCCTCGTGCTCACGGCCACCGGCAGCAACGGTGCCATTTAAACCGCGTCACCACTCCGGCACTGCGTGAATTGGCGCTCTTCAACCGGATCGTTTGTCTCCACGCTGGCGTCCCAACTCGGGCAGACGTTCTCGCCGTTGTGGTCCGGCTCTCCCCTCCGTGCATGGTTCCGGTTGTATCGTCACCTGTTCCGGTTGTATCGTCACTTGTTTCGTTCGCGGCGCCACGGCTGTAAATTTTCCCCTCCCGCGCGCTGGAAGTGGATTTTATTTTCACTCCCCGAGGTTCTGGCACACGGTGCGAAACGTTGGACATTGTGCAACCAAACGCACGTGGGTTATGACGCGTGGCGTACCTGTCCCGTTAGTATCGTTCCTTGGTTTGTTTGTTTTCAAACGGCGTATAGATAGCAATGTATTTTAATAATTAGTACATCGATTCTCAAACGCACGAGTATAGAAGGCGTAGCACGAACCTAACTGTTTTGATCTTGACTCACTCCCACATTCGGGCCTAGTGTCGTCTTAGATCCTAAAATCCAAGAGAAATAACAGTGAACGATTTATTTTTCAGTGCATTATTCATATCGTGGCCGCCTTAGTGGAATGTTTGGCCATAGCTTTTGTAACTTTATAGCTCATTAAACTCGTTGAATAATAATCTATCGTTTGTATATTCTAATCGTATTTCTGTGCCGCGAGTTGATTTTTTTTACTTTGTAATCACTCCATGATCTGGCTGTCTAAAGTTGCCCTACGCAACTGTTTAGTGATAAGGATCTGAATTGTTTTGTTCAGAAAGTGGCTTTTACAAAGATGGGCTGGGGAGATTGTAGTGTGTCATGTGTGCAGTAGGGGTGGCAGTGTCGCGGTTTGGCACTGCATGCAGGTGGGTGGGAGCGGGGTCTTTACCTATTAAAGTACTTTCTAAAATGTTTTCCAGAGTAATTGACGGCGCCATGGTTAAATGGCGTCTTCGTTTCCATCGCGATGTTGAGTACGGAATTATTTCTTGTGTAACCGTGCGCATGCGTTCTAAACATTGACGAATTATCCAGTGATGTACAAGCTCAGTTAACGAGCTCACATTCGTCAATAACACTGGGCCTCAGAAGAGGAAAAACTATAATTAGGTGACGTTTCAGGCCACGGCCGTTGTGTGATAGGCCAGACGTGGAGTGGAAGCGGTTATTGAAAATGTGCAGTTTTGTTAAGCATTTGGGAGTTTGAAGTTATTGCGATTAAATGAACTGTAGTCTAAGAATCTTTTGATAATCTTTATTCGGATTTGAAGACGGCACAAAATACAATAAAATTGTGGAATTCATTTACAATAAAATATCCCAATAATCGACATTGGGGAAAGTAACACTGCATGGAGTGACATCGCTACGACGAGCCTAATGATTACCGCACCTTGCCGCTCCACTCGTGCCAACCCGGCCGCTGAGGCACTCCAACTCGACCCTGCCAGTGGAAACGCGTGAGAGCCACGCCTGCGATTGGTTGCGTGGCGAGTGGAAATGGGCACGGAGGGGAGTCCGGTTAGCCTCGTCATGATGCCTAGCCTGCTCTTGCTGCTTTAGACATTTAAACTTTTTTATGATCAACCGCTGTAAAAAGAAAAAGTAACACTTTGAAATGGGTGTCGATTAAAACATTTTGTCACCACGGGTGGGATAAATAACTTGGCACTCCTTGCACGGTCGTGCCACAACAATCTGTTGTCGTCACCTGACATGTGACGCACTCCTTGCACGGTCGTGCCACAACAATCTGTTGTCATCACCTGACATGTGACATGACGCACTCCTTGCACGGGCGTGGTACAACAATCTGTTGTCATCACCTGACATGTGACATGACGCAGTCCTTGCACGGGCGTGCCACAACAATCTGTTGTCGTCACCTGACATGTGACGTGACGCACTCCTTGCACGGTCGAGCCACAACAATCTGTTGTCATCACCTGACATGTAACATGACGCACTCCTTGCACGGGCGTGGCACAACAATCTGTTGTCATCATCTGACATGTGACATGACGCACTCCTTGCACGGCCGTGCCACAACAATCTGTTGTCATCACCTGACACGTGACATGACACTCCTTGCACGGTCGTGCCACAACAATCTGTCGTCATCACCTGACATGTGACATGACGCACTCCTTGCACAGTCGTAGCACAACAATCTTGCGAGTATAGAAAATCCACATTAAAGGCGTAATTCATTCCCACACCCAAACAACGTTCTTTATATTTTTTAAACAATGGATATTAATTCAAAGCTACTAACTACATTATAACCACACTATTTAAAAACATGGTTAATCCATGCATTAATTAACATACAACAGCCCATTCATAGGGGAATGGTCGGTAAGCAAACATTGGTCTCTGCGGAGGCCTATCATTAAGCGATTAGTCGTTAACAGGGGTGGTCGTAAATTGGCTTCTGTAGATTGTTTGAGTTTTAAAAAACATACAAAACTAACACTCATGAACAAAGTACAATCGTGTAGTTCACTGCAGAGGTTACTAAGGGCAGTGGGGGGGTGAGGTAGTCCAACAACTGGGTTCCCAATTAAGTCGGAGTCCACCTAGGGGTGGGCCCTGTTACAGCTCCGACTCAACCTGCAACTTGTGTTCAAGCGTGGGGAACGGAACAGAATGCTGGGATCCTGGTGCCTGTACCAGTCAGGGTCCAAGGTCTTTAACCATCGCAACCAGGGTGAACGTTTGAATGGTACAAGCATTTGATTTATATAAAAAGAAGTTCTGCAAAAGTGTGGCTTAGGATGAAATAAACTACAAAAAAAGTAAAGATTAAGAGAAGCAAAAGTCTGACACTCGAGGAAGTGGGGCTTACGAAAGGTTTCATTACCATTGCTCAAGTCGTACGAGTGTGAAAAGGAAAAATTACTCTGTGCAAGTTCGAGTCCAGCTTCAAATTGGAAACCCCGGCACTTGTTCACGAATTAATTCCTTCCCTCCTCTGACGTGGTGCTCCGTTCACTCATATCCCCGGAGCGTATTTGCCATGGAAGCCGTAAGGGATGGGGACTCGAACCTCTGCCCGGGCCACTTCAGCGAAGGTGGCAGCGTCGAGGATCAGGAGGAAGGCGGGCAAGTCCTAAACACGGGACAGACCAACTTTCATCATCACCATCATCAATCACCACACTCTTCATTTTCTGATAATTCCCATTTAATTTCTCATTTGCGTTGCCATTCCTAGTGTAATTGTTTTGTCATTTGCCATTCTCGTCGATACTGTGCGATG